GGGGAGAGGGGGGGGGGGGGGGGGGGTGAGGAGACAAATTTGGATTCCTAAAAAGTGCGTTTCATGGTTCATTTTTGTAAAGTAACTTTGGTAGATTGGAAGTTCACGCATTCCCACAGCCCTCGTTTAGCGGGTTCCATGGGCGCCCGCAGGTAGGGGCAAGGGGGGCACTTGCCCCCCCCCCTGATTGATTGGATAAATTTTTTTAGACAAAAATAGACAAAAAAATGTATTAAAGTAAAGAGAAAAATAAAGAGAAAGTAACTAAGCTGATGTCCTGTCCGTTCGTTCATTCACCATACAAATACGCTACAGTAAATTAAAACTATATTAAAACATTACTAAAAAAAATTTGCCCCCCCCCCCTGGAAAGTTAATAGATTTTTTTTGCCCCCCCCCCTAGAAAGTTTTCTGTGGGCGCCCATGGCGGGTTCTAACTATTGGTGTAAGAAATATGCGGTGTGAAAGAGGGGTGGGACACTAGAATATCAATATAGTTCAAGGGTGGTGGCTCACAGGCGGGGGTAGCCCTAATTGGGAATCTTATTAATTGCGTTACTTGCATGCATGTTTAGTCAAGTACTTTGAGTGGATGGGAAGCTCACACAATTGTTTGCCAGGCTATAAGCTGGTTGGCCTAATTAATTAATTAATAACTAACCGATTTCCCAATTAGGCTACGGTAAAAGAGAAATAGCTTCGGAACCAGCTCTTCCGGTTTCATACGATTGCTAAAAATAACATGCACTATTAACGATGCACCGTCCAATCACAGCAAAGTTTGTTTGTCGTTCAGCCGAGACCACTCAGGTGAACACCGAGCTCAATGCAAGTGTTTCAATAACACAAATGACAACAACTTATTTCCCCCCACGTTCAAAGCCATCAACGATCCATAACTCCATCCGTGCTGTGCACTTTAACGCCTCTTTCACTCCCCTCTGAGATGTGTATACGGATGTGGACGAATATATATTTATATCTGTACTGGATTTTTGTATATTATATCCACGAATTCAATAAATATATCTTCAGGAATTAGTGTATATTATCAATTGGAAGCCAATGTCTCTTCTCTGTGTTTTTTGTTGTCTTTAAAAATGTAGTTTCGCTAAATTAATTAATAGTTGAACTCTTCAATATTTAAACTCAGAAAGCTCCGCCCATAACAAATTCACAATTGTTTGTCTCACGTTATAGTAGGCCTATGATAGGCGTAAGAGATTTTTAGACCTCAGATACCATGCTAACACTGTTGCTGTGTAGGACCATTCTAAAGTTATATTTGAAATTACAGTGTTTTTCTGCATGCACTGATGTGGATAAAATGGGGGGGGGGGGGCTTTTTTCTCCCTATTTTGAGTGGTGGCTCCAACCCTAGTTACGCAACTGTATGCATGCCACCCCAGGGGGAGTCGGACGATGACAATGTACGTCTGCGGCGTGACTTAAGCTTCTGGGCCCCGGATGAGGGGGGAGGGGTGGGAGTGGGTGGGATGTGTCGTGATTTCTGATGTTAACTATTTACTATTAGATGTTCATGAGAGGTTCTAGACAGGATTTGTCAAAGACGGTAGGGGCGACTAAGCTATATCCCAAATATCATAGTCTGCCTGGTTGGCATGTTTGTATGAAACAAAACAAGATATGTTGTCGGAATCACTTGATCTGGTTTAAAGAGTATCTGAGGAAGGCTGAACGATATCTTGTGACGACAACCTCAAATAATCTCTAACACAAACACTAGATGACAGCTGGTATCGTTCTAATTTCACCTTTAAAATATTTTTTAAAAAAATATATTCAAATAATAAAAATATGCACGTCAAATCATTAACAACATTTAAGTTATAGTTTTATTAATTATTGTCATTATTTTCAAATATTTTATTTTAATTTTAAATCTATCAGATGGCAGTGAAGGGTGGGTGAAGTGGAGAATGGGGTCGGTCAGCGGTGACAATTGACGTTTGCGGGCACTCTATTATATTTAACTAATTTCCGCCAATCAAAATTATGTTCATACATCACTGTTTATTTAATGTAATAAAATGAAACGCCGGCTTCGTTTAAGGTAAACATAAATGACTACAACTTCATAGGGAAGTTCATTTTATTTCGGTAATTAACGAGAGCATGAAACGTGATTTTATTTGCCATTAAAATTAAAAATTCGTTGAATTGCGCGGGCTAGCCCAAAAAAAAAAAAAAAAACACTAAAAAGCACGGGAGCATTAATTTTAATTTATAACATGGGATGTTTACGGACAATAAAAGGCTTAGTAGCAATGCCACTAGAATTTTAGTGGCGTAGCTAGGGTTAGTCTAGTCTCACCCGAGTCGGAAACTTTTTTTTTTTAATGCTACTCTTCCACACACAAAAAATAAAAAAAATATTTAAAAAAAAACAGTGAAAAACACCTCTGCACTTCGCCAAAAAACTAATAAAAGAAAAAAAGTGCCGACTGGGGCGAACCACCCCGTCCACCCCACCCTTCTTACACCACTGGCATGATGAAAAGACGAGGTGAGTAAAAGCGAAAACCAATGGCTAAATTTGAAGTTCCAAATTTAGTGTCCGGGATGACGTCACCTTTATACGGGAAACCCACGCAGCGTTGCGCAGTTTAGAGATTATCCGGCTGTCAAATAAATTTACAGCTTTTCCGTTGCTGTACCTTTGTTTGATGTGGACGACTTGTTAAGCCCAGCCAGATGTTGTGGTCACGTGAGCAGATCAAACAAAAGAAAGACAAGGTGTGTGTGCAAGGCGAGGCTCTCCAATGTCTTCTAGTCGATAGGGGCAGTGGTTCTCAGATAGTGTCCGAATTAGGCATGCACGACAGTCAAATGATCAACCACCAAAGATAATGAATATTGTCATATAGTTTTGAAAACTAAGTTTTCTTTATATATTTCTACAGGTATTCATTTTTAAAATAGACTTAAACAGGCAAGGCACCCATCATTCTCACCAACTCACACACACACACGCGCGCGCGCACACATACACACAAACAACAAAAACAAACCATAACATCTTGGCAACTGCGAAATTACATCATTCGACGATGGCAAAATTTTGGCCTACGTGTGTCTGTGGGTGGGGGGGGGGTGCGTGGGGGGAAACTAACGCAACGAGCGCCACAGGTACCGAATGGTAGAATATATACTTTTTTTTTCTATCTTAATACTTGAAGGCTTGTCCTCTCCTGTTTTTCCCATTGTAAAGCACTGCTTTAAGCAGTATAGCAGAGCTGTAACGCGGCTTTAGGAGAGCCACCCATCCCAGTTGTCGGTTTGTACTTTGTAGCCCCTTCATTCAAATAATTTGATGGTCTAATTTTTTTTTTTCACATTACAATTTTGAGCCACTTAAATTTCCGAGACCCCCAATCCAACTTTTAATATTTTAGCGACCGTTTGGGTTGCAGAGCCTGCTCTGTGGCTCTGATATAGAATGATTACCAGGCTAAGAAAATTTTTTTTTTTTTTTTGAGTGTCAAAATATTTAGAAATGCACAATTTCCCCATAAAAATATATACAAATTAAAAATAATCTTAAATTTCCGAGACCCCCAATCCAACTTTTAATATTTTAGCGACCGTTTGGGTTGCAGAGCCTGCTCTGTGGCTCTGATATAGAATGATTACCAGGCTAAGAAAATTTTTTTTTTTTTTTTTGAGTGTCAAAATATTTAGAAATGCACAATTTCCCCATAAAAATATATACAAATTAAAAATAATAATCTCTGTTGCTTACATGCAGATATAAACATAGGAGATATTTTCGTACCAAAACCTATAAGAATTCAAAGAAAATGATATTAAATATTTGTTTACAAAAACATACCTGGATTGCGTCACACGCAGATAATTTTGTAAAGCCCCGAAGTTCAGTTAAAATTACTACTAAAACCTATAAATAAAAAAGTGTAACTATATATTATTAGATCTATGTTTAGACTTGAAAATAAAAAAGACACGAAAATTAAACAGATGTTTTGGGTAGATGTCTTACATTATTAACTTAGGTGAGGACTTTGAGAGCTACATTGACATTAATGAGATCTTCAAAAACGTTGGGTTTTTTTTTTTTTTAATTTATCTGTTATTAAGTTATTGTATAGTATGCTGAGGAAAGTGAAAGGAACGAGTTCGAGCCGAAATTGAAATGTCCGTTTAATTTTTTCTTTTTTTTAAAACGCCTAAGCATATCTTGTTACAATATTTATTTGCTTCATACGACTTGAACGCAGTCCCTTATATATAAAACCAATAAACTAAACTATTACTTTGAAAGTGCAGTAGAAATGAAAAAAAAAAAAGAAGTTAGTGTTGACTGAATGCGTGTACAGTTTAGGATAAAACTCTTCTTTTTGTACAAGCATATTTATTGTGATTAGGAACTCTTCATCTCTACAGCACAATAAAATACAGAATTCAAAATGGCGAGCTCTATAGATCTCAACAGAGCAAGAAAAAACTTAGCTGACGCTCTTGGGGATTCAATGAAACTGTAAGCCTTTAAAAAAATAAATAAAATATAATTTGGAAGTTTAGTTATGATAGTTTGATGAACCATACGATTAAGGACAGTAGGACTAAGCCTAAAGTGTTTTTGAGTTGTTTTTAAGTTATTTTTCAATCAATGGCGACGGCACAGCAAGCAACGGCATTAACGGATAATCTCGCTGATTGTAGTATTGTAGGAGCGATTCAGTCAACTTTTACGATAGATTAATTGTCACTTAAATTTATGTGCACATTAATGATTCGCCTATTCACATGGATAAATTCTTCTGTCTGTCTCCCTCAAACCCCATTTATCTTATTTATTAAAACAAAAAAATATGTTGTTTCGTTCATTAAGAATTAAGACATTATCATATATTTTGATATTACATTTAAATTTATAACATTCCCTCTCAAACCTTGTAGCCATGTTTAATCTCAGACTTAAATTTTTAAAGTAAATTTTAAAGATAAAAAGTAAAATGACTCACTAAGTCTACTACAAATAATGTTTACTTAGTTCGCATGAGTAGTCTTGAACTTGACTTGACTTAGTCTTAGTGCTAAAATATAGTATAGTTTAGTTCAACAATGCTTAAAAAAGATTTTAATCAATCTAAGTTACCTATTCCCACTGTGAAGTAGGCCTAGGCTATATTCTATTAAAATACTACCCGTACTAGACTCAAAGTAATCAAAGGTTAATAAAGATTAAAGTAAGTCGGCCTATACTAAGTGGCTTAGGAAGGTGTTTTGGGCTCCCGCTGGCACTTTTTTTCTGAATATTGAGCAGCAGCATTTTTCTGTTCATGTAAAAGGGGGGTGTTAAAATCTTGGGTTGCCCAGGGCAGCATAAAATTCGCTACGCCACACCACTGCCTATGCTCATACCTGGTACTGGTACTTAAAATGAATCTTACCAGAACACCAAACACCAACAAAGTGTAAGATAAAATTAGATATCATTATTTAACAAATTATGCCTATTTGTAAATGTACTAAGACATATATATTTTATCAAATTTACTTTTTTAATTTACTCATTTTTCTCATTGTCTATTACTTTATTTATTTATTTATTCAGGCATTTTTTTATAGCCCTTACCTTACAGCTCTAAGCGCTTTACAATTATTAAAAATATGTAAACTATTTAAACTGCTAAAGTAAGATAAAAATGAAAAACCAGAGACACTTTAGCATATTAGGCTTGTATTCACTTGATTTAACCTTAACCCTTAGCCTGAAACATTGAAACAATAAGCATGGATTACATTAAATTATAATATAGTTTTTATACTTTCTGTTGACTTACTTATAGTATTCTATTTATAGAATACTACAAGTATTAACTACTATAACTATAATAAATTATAATATAATAATAATGTGAATATAATAAATTATAATATATTATTTCACTCTAGGGCCATAAAGTCATCAAAAACCCTGTGAATGTAATTTATTGAAAATATTTCTTCCACAGATATCTACAAAATTTGAATGCTTTTTTTAAAAGAAAGGTAATATTTTTTTTTAATAACTTAAAATTTACTTAAAACATTACCCATATTTTTAAAGACGATTAGCCAATTCAAAATCCAGCCATTTTAATCTTAGTAAGGCAAGTTAGTTATGTCAAATAATTTATTTATATGTTAAATAATATCTATTGTTAACAACTTGATGTGTTTAGGTCAGAGAGCTCTTCTCAATACAAAATGGTTTAAACCAGACAGAATTACTTTTTCTCCAATCATGACAAATTAGACGTCATGAAGCATATAATTATATGAACCATTGACTTAAAGCTTATAATTATAATTTATTATAGTTGTTTAAGATAAGATACAAATATATTGACATTCATATTAATTTTTAATTCATATTCTTTGCTAATATTACAGTATAACAAAGAAGAATTTGACTTTGAAGCTAGGAAGTTAATGAGGAATGATACTGGTTAGTTTTTGTTTTTTTTAAATTTTAATTTCTTTATTGCAGCAATCTATACTTGTATTTATCAGTTACAAATCAGAAGAAAAATTATGTTCACTAAATTAAAACAATTACTTGTTAAATTAAAATCTGCTTTACCTATGCAGTACAATGGGAAAAGATAGAAGAAACATAATTTAATTCTAAAATTTGTTCAAATATTACCAGATTAATTTTTAAATCTCATTTGACTTGTTGCAAATTATTAATACTATATTTTAAACAATGATTGTAATATCTTCTTTTAGTTCATCTTCACAATGAGTTCCTTCTGGCATTGATTTCAAAATGTCAAATTCTTTCTTCATCAGTCAGTAAGTATTCCAATTTAAAATCCTTGCCCAAAATTTAATTTATGCTCTCAAAAACATTTTTAAGGCTGTTTATTAAAAAAATGCATTTAAGTTAGTTAATGATCTGATCTTTAAAGCTTGTTTAACTTAAATTTCTCTTCAAATTTCTCAGCCTCTAAAGACCAGGGCAGTGTTGGAAAAGCTCAGAAGTCAAGTAAAGTTAAAAAGAAACCCCCTGGTGGCCGAGCTAACTTGCAGGTACTTCTTGCAATAACTTCTGTTTTTTTTTTTTTAAATCGAATTTAACCCTGATTGTCTGTAATAATAATTTTAACATGAAACCTTTGATTTTGTATATATCAGATTTGTATAGAATTTGACAAATATACCTTTCCCATATTAAAAAACAAACATTTGTTTGATATAAAGTTCTAGAGTAGGGGTTCCCAAACTTTTTGACTCGCTGAGCCCATTTCTAGAACTAGAATCGATTTCTATGGGGGAACCCCAAGGCCTAAACATTTGTCTTGAGGGGGCCAGTTAAGCCTACCATATATCTTACAAGTAAATAGCGCTTAGCAATTTCATGGAGCTGCCACAGAGCCCCTTTTGAGAACCACTTCCTTAGAGGATTATTAATCCTCTAAAAAAATTCAGTTGATCACAAGTGTATGTTGTCAACTCAGTTGATCATAAGTGTATGTTGTCAACTCAGTTGATTATAAGTGTATGGTGTCGAATCATCAAACATTTCTGAAGGTATACATTAAATAGCCTTTTGAACATTGGAATAATTGAAATTGTCTTGTTTATTTGCTGTAATTCATGTTTAAAATTATTGCCTTTTTAGCAAAGGTTTATCCAAGCTCAGACCTTGGATTATGTACCACAGATAACAAGCAAAGCATTAGAGGAAGGTGCTAGCCCCACACCTTTAGGTAAATGAGATTCTCTTAATGGCTGAAAATAATCATGTTTACATTTAGATACCAACAATATGTCATCATTTTAACATAAACATATTTTATCCTTAGCTACCAACATGTAATCATTTTAACATAAGCATATAAGTCAACTTCTTTGGAGCAGTAATTGTCATCCCAATTGTCATAATAGGTTTTCAGTTAATATATAGAATAATTGGAAGTAGGATGGCATCCATCTTGAAATCCTTTGAAATATGGCAAAAATGATATTATCCATTTGAGTTTGAGAGAAAATCTACTACTAACAGTTTGCTTGAATACTGCTAATCTCAGACACATCTGACATTTTTGTAAATACATGAAAAGGATTTTATTTACTGTATTATTAGTTTATTTTAGTGTGTCATAAGATGAAAGAAAGAGCTGAAATTTTTTTGCTCCAGATGTTATAACGAAAAGTTTTAAAAAAACCAAATAGTTTTAATCACATCTGTATTTAAACCTCAATATTTAATTTCTGCTAGAATCTGTCAGGCTAGGGGTACTTGAGTATTATAAATGATGGAGTCATTATAACATCTTAAGCTGTTTTCTGGATTGTGTTTGCGTAATTTACCAGTATGTTAAATGTTACAGGATTCATAACCAGAGATGGGCTACTGCCAGATGTTACAATGGTCCATGGCCGAATGCTGGTCTGTGCCTGGGAGACGGGTTTATCTGATGTGCAGGACAGTGCTGTGAAGCTTCTCATGATAGCACTGGAGGTCGGTAGGAGTAGACTCTTTTATTTTACTTTATTTTTTAAAGTTGGTTTGTAAGAGAACATTGTTGTTTCTTTTAATTTGCCTGTTTATCTATACCGCAGGACAGTATTTATCTTCACCAACCCAGTCATTTCTTGGTTATGTTATTTATTTTGAATTATCCTAACATTAAAGAAGAATGTCACAAAAGGAAAACGTACCACTGAAATCATTGCAGTAAAGTTATGATATATTATATAAATGTCCCATAAGTGACGCTATTTCAGCCCACATAATGACTCACTAAGCCAGAAGTTAGGCCACTTGAGGCCACATGATCACTCCCTAAGCCATAAGTAGGCTACTTGAGGCCACACGATGAATCACTAAGCCATAAGTTAGGCTACTTGAGGCCACACGATGACTCACTAAGCCATAAGTTAGGCTACTTGAGGCCACACGACGACTCACTAAGCAATAAGTTAGGCTACTTGAGGCCACACGATGACTCACTAAGCCATAAGTGAGGCTACTTGAGGCCACACGATGACTCACTAAGCTGAAATCTTACTGGTTTAGCTCCTGCTATTGTTTCATATTTCCACAGACACAAATCAAGAGCATCCTTTCACTTGTTGTCAAACAGCGCAAGGGCTACAAGTTACGGGAAGGTAGATTCACGTATGCTGTTGGGATTGGTGTCAAAAATCCTTATGCCATGAGCGTGCATGATAGCACAGACCCAAGCTCAGAGAGGTAACCTTAAGGTCTTTACAAAACTGTATTCTGTGACAAGTCAACCGGGGTCATTTGGTGTAGGTGGTGAAATATGATAGTTTTGCATGTGAATTGATTTGAATTACAGTAGAAAGTTCAAGCAGTTCCATTGTATCCCTACTGAAGAAAGCCAAGCTGAGAAAAATGACTGTATTTAAAAATTATACGAAAACCCCCCCCCAAAAATTTTGTGATATATTGATAAAGAAGGCATATGCAAATTAATGTATATTATCATCCCTTGGTATGGGTATTTTTGATACCGGGTAGTGGAAAACTTTTGCTTGAATAGTCCAAAACTGATCACACAATTTTTTAAAACTATTTTACTTATAATGCTTTGTCAACCACAGTTGTCAGATTTATCATTCAATATTGGCAGTCGGTACATTTTTGGATTGAACAGGACTCATGTTTGTCTCTTGTAAGGAATCCCTCCAGAAATCTTGCACTTGTGGGGAGATGAAGCTGTAGATAATTGAACTCTTTCAAGTTAAAATAGAGCTGTATTTAGTTGACTTTCAACATAATTATAAAGTATTATGTAGCAAAGCTGTCATAACTATATGTAACATTCAATTAACAGCTTTATTATCATTTAACAGCACTGCCACCACAATTACAAGTAACTTTCAACACACTCCGAGCCTCCGCCCATCAGTTGAAACTGGAGATGACATTGCTATTGAACAATACGCTCTGGGGGCTGATCTTGCCGAGGAGGAGCTTGACCCTATTTCTTTGTACGACTTGTCTGATACATTGATGGTAAGTATATGGGTACGTATGACTTGCAGCTTTAAAAAATTATTTTAGAAATGTAAATCACTTGTGAAAAGGAGTTACTTCCCTTTCTCAGGCCTATAAATTAAGTAGAAAGTAGCATTGCCATTGGGAGTAACGTGAGTAGTTCTGATCAGTTTGTCCTTTCTGAAATGTCTTCATTCTCTTCATTTCAGCTCTACAAAAACACAATAGTGTCTCACTCAGTCTACGCCCCAACCATCGAGCGAGTGATTCACATGAAGTGGCATCCAAGCAATGAGGACCTGGCTCAGGAAAGCATACATGAGCAAGAGGTCTACCTGAAGCACAAAGTGGCCAAACGAAAAAACTACGACGAATGAATCAAAACTAGACCAATGGATCATAACTCATCCATGTAATGAGAGATATTCTGTGTGGTGGCGCATAACTGAGGTATCCCATAATCTCAAAAACCAGATTCTTTTGCAATCACAGGTTAAAGATTTCACTGTCTCAAAAAAGTAATTCCATTGTTAAACTGTTCTATGTGAACTGCACAATTGTTTGGCTCTGCAAAAACCAACAGTTCTACATTCAGAGATTTTCAGTCTTACCATTAAATAAGAATATTTCTTTTAATAGATTTTGGGAAATTTCAATATGTGGAGTTAACTATGGACCCTTTTTTACTACAATGGGGCACAATTGTTTCCCTTTGTTTTCTGCAACACAATTGTTACATTGTCAATCTTTCAATTCAGCTTACTCGAATATTTTTGCTGTGACAAATTGGCATTAAATAACACTCCTGGTTGGAAAGGCCAATACACTGGACCCTAATTCCATCTAAAGTCTGGTATTTTGATATGGAATTTGTTTGCTCCAACACCGTGGCTGGTTGGTGAAATATTGCAAGATACTATTAGGTGAAATAGAAAGATTTTTTTTTTTATTCTAATATCATATTGTAACTCTGGCTTAACTATTCAGCCTTCTTGTGCTTATGTTATATATCTTTGTACTCTGACTATTGGAAATGTCTGTATTATATCTTTGTACTCTAATAATTGGAAATCCATACGGAAGTTGAAGAAAAATCATATAGATCAGAATAATGCACTTAGCTAATCAGCTTTGTAATACCTGGTAGATGGTTTTTAGTTGTGACAGGTTTGTCATAGCCTCAGATGGTTTGACAGCAGTGACAAGAAAGGTGTGTGACCTGTTTGTCAAAGCTTCAGATGGTTTTATAACAGTGACAAGATAGGCGCGTGACATGTTCATCATAGCCTCAGGTGGTTTTATAGCAGTGACAAGATTAGTGTGTGACAGCTTGTTACAATGATATTGACTGTTGTTTTTATCAACCCATTTAAAAATGTTTATGCTCAAATAATGTCGTTTTGAAGTAATGTGTACTGTTCTAACTTATTTGAAGACGATGATAAAATGCAGAATGGCTGAAGTATGTCAGAAAATAGTTACACTAAGGCTACTTAGAAAAAAAATCTTAAATGCGATTGTGTTTTCATCAAGCAAAAGTCATGAATGCCTTACACAAAATTAGAAGGCATTTTTGTTGACATGGAATGAAGATTCACAGGTACTTCACTTAAACCCAACTTCTTTATATGACCATACTGAAAATGATTTTCTGTATTTGTAATACCCTGTGACCAAATGGAATTAGCTTGTTACATTATGTTTCTAAAAAAAAATTCATGTCATGCATGTTACTTAATACCTCAAATTACCCCACCTACCTAAATACAAGTTATGTTATATTAAAGATTATGTCTTAGTTACTAAATAAATTGATTCATATGAATAATGTGTGAAAACTCCCTTAGCTGGTGTAAAAAAAATGAAGAAAGATAATCTAGAATAATGTATCATGTTCAAAGGGAGATTAATACAAATAAATTTTGTTTTTACTTGTTCTTTATTTTTCTAATTATAATAGATTTGTATTTGTAGATGTCTTTACAAAACTATTTTAAGACTTCATGATAAGTATCTGTTGGGAAGATTAAAATACAAATTTCTTCTATGCATTATATATTAGGGAAGTTAATAAATACTCTATTAACTTTTTTTTCAATTATTAAATAAGAACTTCTGTTCTTAATAGAAGCTAAGAATCTAGTGATAAATGTATTATTATCTATTCAATATTTCAATAGCTTTCCATTATTTGAAGGGCAGAACTGCCCAGAGCTGGGGAAAAATTAACATGTAGTTTCTGTAGAATTAATTATCTTCCTCCATGTATATATTAATTTAGAGGTGAAACTATGATGAAAGTCATGGAATACTTTGTCCAACTATAATGTCACCTGTAACTAATGGCTAAGCGTGTATAGAGGTGCAGTAACGACCTAGACAATTATTAACACTTGAATTCACAATAGTAAAGTATAAGAAAAAATGCTGCATATTTAAGAACATTGAAATTGAAACCTTTTTATTTTATTTAACTACCCCACAAAATTGGAGCGCAATGAAATTCTGACAGTTAGGTATTAATTTAACAAATAAATATCTGCCTCTGACCCCCTCACAACACCAGCCCTATATCTTGAAAGTCATCAATGATAAGCCAGCCCCTCACAACACCAGCCCTATATCTTGAAAGTCATCAATGATAAGCCAGCCCCTCATAACACCAGCCCTATATCTTGAAAGTCACCAATGATAAGCCAGCCCCTCACAACACCAGCCCTACATCTTGAAAGTCACCAAAGATAAGCCAGCACCTCACAACACCAGCCCTACATCTAACAAGTCACCATAAGCCAGCCCCTCATAACACCAGCCCTATATCTTGAAAGTCACCAATGATAAGCCAGCCCCTCACAACACCAGCCCTACATCTTGAAAGTCACCAATGATAAGCCAGCACCTCACAACACCAGCCCTATATCTTGAAAGTCACCAATGATAAGCCAGCCCCTCACAACACCAGCCCTACATCTTGAAAGTCACCAAAGATAAGCCAGCCCTTCACATCTTGAAAGTCACCAATGATAAGACAGCTCACTGTGCCATAAATTTAAATAGATTTTGTCCTAGTTAACCACCCAATGACATCCTACGTGTCTTTATCTTGAGGAAGATGTTACTAACCACCATGCAAAGTCCAGCCGCAATCATCAAGCTGCCACCGAGGTAAAATGCCTCATCAAAACTACCAAATAAATCTCTGAATGCACCTATTCACACAGAGGAAAGCACTGCTTTAATAAAATTGCTAATATGCATCAAAAGGAAAAGCACCCTGTTAATAAACTCCCTATTGTGTGTACAAAAAAATTAATTTAAAAAATTATTTTCTTTTAGAAATGAATCTAACAGGCATTGATTAAAAAATAAACTTGTCAAAACTATTTCCATTTCTTAAACCTAACATTTCCTGTCCATCATAATTCATTAATCATTGTTTCCCAAACTTTCAACTTTGGACAAGTTTCCCATTTCATCAGAATTATGAATTATTGTTCTTTCTATTTGACCTTAAATATGTCATAAAATATTCTTCTTCTTTATTTTAAGGGCCCACGATCAATGAATTGATCATTCTGGCTCATTTTTTTTATCCATAATCAGGCGATTCAATAGAACTTGTTTAACTATGACCATTGAATGCTAGCCGTTAGTAGTTTTTTTTTCCCGTTATGGAAGTTTGAAAATTAAACTTTAGAGTCTAGGTCCTGAACTTTCACCCCTTGCTGAAAGGTTTCTTCACATAAGGTTATTAACTATCATTTGTATTGTATTATTAGTATTATATCATATGTAATTCGCTGTGCCTTTCACATAAGGGATTTGTATTTTATTATATGTAATATGTTGTCCTTGTTACATAAGGGAATTAGCTATCATTCGTATTGTATTATATCTTATGTAATATTATATGTTGTCCCTTTCACATAAGGGAATTAGCTATCATTCGTATTGTATTATATCTTATGTAATATTATATGTTGTCCCTTTCACATAAGGGGATTAGCTATCATTTGTATTGTATTATTTCATATGTAATATGTTGTCCCTTTCAAAATTTAAATAAAACATTCTCTTGATTTAAGGTAGAGCCTTTTCTTTGTGTGATCTTTTGTTTGATAGCTTTCACTTCTACGTCAAATGTTAATCTGGCATACAGCGTCAGCTTCCCAGGCTAAAGTCAGTTTTTTGTAAAATTCAGATTTGTTTTGAAACAATAATCAAACAAGTAGTACCACACCCACACCAGTTTCTTGATTAATGTTGAGTGGACCGCCAACATAAGGCCCGCAGCCTGGTGCCAGTTCACGGACCACCACAAATGCTATCAATTTATGTGTGGGTGAAGGAGGACCTGGCCCAATTTTTCAAGAAATAATTAGATCAATTGTTGTTGTTTTTAAATTGCTATAAGTCAATAATATTCATTGGTTCAAAATGCAGGTGTTCAACATATGAATAAATTTCCTTTTCTGCTAAAAAATGCTACTAAACACCAAAGAAATCTCATTTGTTTATGGATTAAAAAAAAAGATAATTTTTGGGAACATGTTATTTTTGTCCTATTAACACATCAACTTTGGTAATCTTCAGTTCAATAAACAAAAATTGGAATACCTACCGGATAAGGGTGGTCCCACACAAGTTCCTACAGCCTGAAAGCATATCAGCAGTCCAAATGAACTGGCCATGTTCTGTACTCCAAGGATATCCACAATAACAGCGGACTTTTGTGCGATGTAAGCCCCCGTTAAGGATCCATACACACAACACAGCACAGACAAGGAGGAAAAGTTTGTCATTGACGGCAGGATAAAAGAAATCCCTGCTGTGGCAAACAGGAGAGAAGTGTATATCACAAATCTGAATGGACGAATGGTCTTTAAATCAAAGATTAGTCCTGAGGTGATTCGTCCCAATGTATCAAAGACTCCCGTTACAGACAGCACTAGGGCGGCCTCGGTTTGGGAAATACCCTTAGATTTGACTAAGGCTCGGATGAAGGTGAAGGCGGCTTTGAACGCTGATGTAAAAAGTGCTATACTTAAGCAGAACATGAGAAACGAGGAGTCTTTCAGTAGTGAGAAATGAAACAATCCTTTTTGGCCTTTTTTCTCATGTTTTTCCACGGGAAAACAGAGCTTCAGTGAAGACAGGAGCCAGGAATGTTTTTTGGTTCTTCGTAAAGAACCTGGTTCTTGTATAAGATGCTTATCTGCAGTATTAGGTTTCAGGGTGCCACTTATATCTGGATCCTGCATTTTATGTTGATCATAAGAAATCCCATCTTGTTCCTTTGAAGAAAAAACGTCTTTTTGCCAGGGAGACAACTGCAGCTCACTGGATTCCATAAGTTGCTCCCCTTCATAAATCCTATGGACAAAATTGTATTGTATTATCAGGTTGCTGATTATAAAGAACTCTCAACAATCCAAAAAATTTGTAAGAAAAAATATTTCTTAAAAAAATACTAGATTTTTTGTTTCCTCTTCATATTGTCAACAATGAATAGCACAAAAGGCACATATTCTATTTCTACTTAACCCGTGGCACTAATTATCCTCTTCATATTGTCAACAATGGATGGCACAAATTCTATTTCTACTTAACGTATGGCACTAATTATCCTCTTCATATTGTCAACAATGGATGGCACAAAAGGCACATATTCTATTTCTACTTAACGTATGGCACTAATTATCCTCTTCACATTGTCAACAATGGATGGCACAAAAGGCACATATTCTATTTCTACTTAACCTGTGGCACTAAAACTGCTTTTTATATATTTTTATTTCATTCTCACACTAAAATGTTGCGTGATTACCTTTTCCTTGTAAATATGTTGTGCAGACTCAGGGGTCTGTAAAGCATTGCAACTATCAGGCCATTCATAGCAACACTACCCAATATAAGGAATGTTCCCTGGAGAGAGAAAGTTACATTGGTGAATTAGTTGTCAATTGTGGGAGAACTACAAATATTCATCCAAGGTACTTCCCATGATTAAATTATTTTAAACCACAGCAAAGCATGAGATGAATAGTCAATAATTGAGTCATTCCCCAAACTTTGCTTGTGTGTGGTTTGTCAGGAACTTTGCTCATGTGTGGTTTGTCAGAAACTTTGCTTGTGTGTGGTTTGTCAGGAACTTTGCTTGTGTGTGGTTTGTCAGGAACTTTGCTTGTGTGTGGTTTGTCAGGAACTTTGCTCGTGTGTGGTTTGTCAGGAACTTTGCTTGTGTGTGGTTTGTCAGGAACTTTGCTTGTGTGTGGTTTGTCAGGAACTTTGCTCGTGTGTGGTTTGTCAGGAACTTTGCTCGTGTGTGGTTTGTCAGGAACTTTGCTTGTGTGTGGTTTGTCAGGAACTTTGCTTGTGTGTGGTTTGTCAGGAACTTTGCTTGTGTGTGGTTTGTCAGGAACTTTGCTTGTGTGTGGTTTGTCAGAAACTTTGCTTGTGTGTGGTTTGTCTCGTGTGTGGTTTGTCAGGAACTTTACTCGTGTATAGTTTGTCAGGAACTTTGCTTGTGAGTGGTTTGTCAGGAACTTTGCTCGTGTGCGGCTTGTCAGGAGCTTTGTTCGTGTGTGGTTTGTCTCATGTGTGGTTTGTCAGAAACTTTGCTCGTGTGTGGTTCGTCTCGTGTGTTGTTTGAATTGTTTGTCCCGTGTGTGGTTTGTCTCATGTGTGGTTTGTCTCGTGTGTGGTTTGTCTCGTGTGTGGTTTGTCAGGAAGTTTGCTCATGTGTGGTTTGTCAGGAACTTTGCTTGTGTGTGGTTTGTCAGGAACTTTGCTCATGTGTGGTTTGTCTGAAACGTTGCTCGTGTGCGGTGTTTGTCTCGTGTGTATTTTGTCTCGTGATTGCTTTGTCTTGCATGTGGTTTGTCTCGTGTGTAGTTTGTCTCGTGATTGCTTTGTCTTGCATGTGGTTTGTCTCGTGTGTATTTTGTCTCGTGATTGCTTTGTCTTGCATGTGGTTTGTCTCGTGTGTGTTTTGTCTAGGGAAAGATAAACAAAACTGAACATTTCAGCTGAAAATACATCTCAAAAACAAATAAACACAAACAATTACAGCTTCCAATGTTAGACCCCCTACAAATAAAGATTTGAGAATCCCCTTGCCTCCATAACAAACTCTAGTCAACTAACATTTGATATGAGAATCCCCTTATCTCCATAACAAACTCTAGTCAACTAATATTTGATAAAAATAAATTTTTTTCCTCAATTAATTATTTTTTTTTTTAAAATAAGAGACGAACACACTGACTTGAAATCCATAATTGTCAAAAAGCCATTGTGTCAGAGGCACAATGCAGAATGTTCCTACACCAACACCGGATGACCCGAGGCCAGTAGCCAATCCCCTATGCCTGTCAAAATACATGCCCACAATGATCAGAGATGGGGCACTGACCAGTCCAAGCCCTAATCCTAGAGTTTAAAAAAAAAACTGTTTTGACTGATGGGACACACACTGACAGATGGGACACAAGACTGACAGATGGGACACAAGACTGACAGATGGGACACAAGACTGAAATATCAAAAGGCTCCATAACAAAGATAAGTAGGTTTTCTAAATATGTTTTTTTGGACATTTTTTTTGGGTCTATCTCAATGCTTGATTACCCAGTATACATAGGGCAAAGCATTTTTGAATTTAGTAGCGGTTGACCATTCATTTAGAGCATACACATCTTCATTTTATAAAATCGCATCATTCACAGTTTGATTAAATCAGATTAAAATTACTTTCACTGCTCTCTTCAGACTCCATAAACATCACACAGAATCTCCTCCTCCCCCCACCCACACACATTAAGCTTACAACTTGGTATGCAAGGTGTAGCGGGCTGCAATAATTAGTCTATGCACTGCACATATTTGTTACAGTTGTTTAATTCCTGACCTGACAGGATGCTGATTGGAAAATTTGAGCAATGGAAACACTCTTAATGAGCCCATTTTTTGCTGAGCTTCTCATTAGAAAACTGGTTGGTTGTAATTGAAACACTTGCACTCTTCTTAAATAAATTATTTATCAGTTAAAAAATGTTGTCATTTGATGATAAGCAAAAATTAGACCATTTAACATCGGAACACAACATTCATGAAACACACATAAAATTTTCCATTTCATCTTGGCTACTGATACGGTACCTTGTAAGGCAGAGTGTGAGAAAAATAAGAAGTAGAAATTGGGTGAGTATCCACTGAGTACATAAGCCAGTGTTGTGATGATGCTGCCCACCAGTACAGCAGATCTCACACTGTATCGGTTGCACACGGCACCGGCAATGGGACCTGTCAATATAGCAGAAATAAAATTGTATCAATTCTTTTCTCTGAAAACAGTATTAGATCAGCATTGAAATCATTAGTTAAATAATAGAGGAAAAATGTTCAGATCTCGAACAAACACTAACTGAATAATTAAAATGACAAAAATAAAGAAAATAAAAAATTTATTATAAAAATATTTAAAAATGGATGAGTTGCTCAAAGTCTTAACAGGTCACATGAAAGTTTTCCATTGCTATTTAATCTGGCCTTTCCTGCATTCCTGACTTATTCTAGCCCTAACTCTAACAGCTCACGCAAAACCTTCGTCAACCCATTGAAGGTCATCCTCTATACATTACAGGGATGTATGGTATTTACATTCAAAGCCTTTCCTTTCCATTGCTAAGTTTTTCCCCTTTCATTCTTGTAAGATGTCTTATTGTAATTTTAAAAACAAAGAAATCAAAACAACAGATGATAGGCCTATGACTTGCCAAGAAAAAGCCTGATGGTTGATACAGAGGCACCAGGCCATGATGTCAGCTGTGCGCTTTCATTAAACTTGATTTTAAACTGCAAATAGTAGATGCCATCGTTTCTGTCAAATCCGCCTGGACAAACCACAACAAACATGAGGTACGGTAGTTTATGGTAATATATGTTGAAAATAAAAGAAGGTGTTTTTATTGGTCATGAAATGTCAATACGTTCAAATGTATTGTTAATAAGGTAATCATATAAGTATAAGGAAATGTATGAGCCATTGAACAAGGTTAAAATATTTATAGTTCTGGACACATAATATGCTACACAAAAGAATGATAAGAGTTGGTTTAGCCAGTTATTATTGAATGACAATCATAAAGCTTATCATGAGTGTTATGGAAGCACTGGTGCTTCACGAGTGCTGGGTTTAATTAAGAATTAAAATTTCCAATTTAACATTATCCTATAAATTAAATATTCAATTTAGCTATTGGGCACAACTAACTTATAGTGTCTGATATTTAATTTAATGATTAATAAAATAAAATGATTATATACATTTAAATTCCCAGTAGGCTTTATTATTATATATAATATATTAATATTATGCATATATGATAATTATATATATATATGTATGAATGTATGTATGTATGTATGTATGTATGTATAAATATATAAAGTATAATATTATAAATAATTCCGAAAACTCCCTTGGATAAATTCTATATTCTGGGACAGAGATATTACTGAAAATAATTCAGACACAATTCCCATTTTGTTCCAAGCCAGAATATTGTATGCAAATATGTTTTGGACCTGAATTTGACAAATCAGGCTCCAGCTTGATAATTTCAAGGCCATGGCACTGCCCACCTTTGTCTTGTCTGTTCCTGTCTTCATTTTATATAACAACACCTCCACCCAACATCTGCTACGTTAAATACGTAATTGGCTCATGTGAAGTAGTAGCAGTTTATTATAAAAAACCTGAGGAGACTTACCAATGATAACATGTGCGAGGAAACAGCCCAACACAATGAACCAGCCGTAGCCACCATCTGGTACGTTGGCGTTCACATTCAAGTCTTCATGTAGTTGGGGTTTTTGATATACTCTGTGTAACTGAACATCTTTCTGGTGAAATCAATTTAAAAAAAAAAAATGTATGAAGACCTTTAATATTTATTTTACTGACACAAAAAGTATGACACCCACTAACTAAAGTTCAGCAGAATATTTTAAAAATCAGATGTGGGAACATAACATTGTTAATATAGGGGTATTGAAATTAACATCTTTCTTTAAAACTTAACTAAAAATATGAGTATGACATTTGAATGAAAACAGTTGACTATTTCAACAACGTTACAAAAAAAAATCTTTACAGAAATGTTGTTTTGAAGTCATTTGATTTTTTTTCTTCTGTTTTTACACCTGAAGTTTTCAGCATCATAAGTTTGTCTTTGCTCCAGCTTCTGTACATTAAAAAAAATAATAAAACAGATGGAGTGAAGCAAAGTAGCAATCGCTCAACTAATTTACCAAAGGAAAAATAAACGTAAAAAAATAAAGCTAAAATAATACAAGGCCACAGAAAAAGACAACAATGGACCATACCTCAGGCTTATCTTAACAACAATGAACCATACCTCAGCCTCATCTCAACAACAATGAACCATACCTCAGCCTCATCTCAACAACAATGGACCATACCTCAGCCTCATCTCAACAACAATGGACCATACCTCAACCTCATCTCAACAACAATGGACCATACCTCAGCCTCATCTCAACAACAATGGACCATACCTCAGCCTCATCTCAACAACAATGGAACATACCTCAGCCTCATCTCAACAACAATGGAACATACCTCAGCCTCACCTCCAGAGAAAATTTTTGTCTCATTGTTGACATCACGTAAATAGTCCCCAGGGAACTTTTCCACACTTTGGCATGTCATAGATCTAAGGTTTTCAGGAAGTATTGAATCTTGTGTTGTCATTGTTTTATCTATAACAAGCATAAACAGTCTCTAGTGGTCTAGTGCTCTCTAGTGTTCCAATGGTTTACAGTAGTACAGTGATCTGTAGGGGTCCAGTGGTCTCTAATGGTCCAATGGTTTACAGCAGTATAGTGATCTGTAGTGGTCCAGTGCTCTCTAGTGGCCCAATGGTTTACAGTAGTACAGTGATCTGTAGTGGTGTCTAGTGGTCCAATGGTTTACAGTAGTACAGTGATCTGTGGTGGTCCAGAGCTCTCTAGTGGCCCAATGGTTTACAGCAGTACAGTGATCTGTAGTGATTCAATGATTTACAGCAGTACAGTGCTCTCTAGTGGTCCAATGGTTTACAGCAGTTCAGTGATCTGTGGGGCCCAATGGTTTACAGCAGTACAGTGATCTGTAGTGGTCCAATGGTTTACAGCAGTACAGTGATCTGTAGTGGTCCAGTGCTCTCTAGTGGTCCAATGATTTACAGCAGTACAGTGATCTGTAGTGGTCCAGTGCTCTCTAGTGGCCCAATGATTTACAGTTGTACAGTGATCTGTAGTGGTATAATGGTTTACATCAGTACAGTGATCTGTAGTGGCCCAGTGCTCTCTAGTCATCCAGTGATCTTTAGTGGTCTGTAGTACCGGTATACCAGTTGTCTATTCACCTAGTTATTGTTTAAAGCTTATTAGGAAAAGAAACACTATCTTTTGATTTATACTCCTAGTTCTTCCAATAAAATCCCATTGAAAGCAAAGCAAACCTTGCAGTTGAAACATAGAACTATTTTCTCTGTAACATCTTGAATATCACCTGAAACTGTGTGTCGAATGATAACATTATCATCACTTGTAACTAGTCTTTCTCACGTCAGGCATGATGCAAGAGCTCCTTGTACTTACCAAGGGTCTGTGACTGTTATAGTTTACAGATTGATTGTAGTTTTTTTAATCACTGGAAAATACCTTAGCCCAATTACCACACCTTCTCCCCACCCCCTCCCGGCCACACCTCAACTTTTCATTTATCACAATGACAAGGTCAAAACAAAACACTGGTACAGAAGATATGGACATAGCGGGCAAACTTGAAAATGATGAAAGTCAGCCAGCAAGGAGACTGAGGTCAATCTTTGCCCTTGAAAATGACAATTTTACCCCAGAACTATACACCGCAGTCTTTTAATACCATCCCCCACAAAAGTACTGTCTACTTGGATAGGAAATTTTAAAAAAATGACTAGATCCCTTAAATAATTCTGCATATGAAGTTCATTTATTTCCGTTGAATCTATACATTACATAGATATTTTAAAAAATGACTAGATCCCTTAAATAATGTTGCATATGAAGTCATTTATTTATGTTGAACCTATATATTACATAGACATTTTTAAAAATGACTAGATCCCTTAAATAATGCTGCATATGAAGTTCACTTAGTTCTGTTGAGCCTATACATTACATAGACGTTTTTAAAAATGACTAGATCCCTTAAATAATGCTGCATATGAAGTTCATTTAGTTCTGTTGAGCCTATACATCACATAGACGTTTTTAAGAAAAAACAGAAAAATGTCAATGCGAATAAAGATTTTATTTATCCTCACTGGTGAAAAAAAAAAGCTTTTACCAGTAAATAAAACAACCAACAACAGAAGATATTGTCAAACAGACATAGAGATAGATAGATATATTTTAACATTTCATTTTACATAAATAATACATGTCTCACAATTCATTGGTGTGGTCAATTAATGCCATTTAATATTGTATATAAAAACATTATTTTCTCTAAAAATCTTCTTAGAGAGTTAACTATAAAATAGACGGGTCAGAGAAATTTATGGGACTCTGTATTGAATGTTTAAAACATCAACGTTATATCCTAATATAAATGTGTCTGTCCACTGCTGGGACAGGAACATTTTCAAGAATATGTTTATTACAATTCCTTTAAATTAAATAAAAACCTGTGATATGTTATAAAATTTAAAAAATGATAAATTAACTTTATTATTACATACAAATTGTTGTATTTGAATTATTCTGTTGAAGCAGTTAGGCAGTGTCAAACTTAACTTACAACTGGCATAAGTGAAGAAAGTTGTATGAGTTTAAAAAAAAGGGGGGGGGGGGGGGGGGGTTTTTNTTTTAAAAAAGAGGGGGGGGGGGGGGGAGTGGTATCTGTCTACAGAAATAAGCAATTAGTGATCTGCGGAAGGAGATATTTTGAAAAATATATGCTAAATATAGATTTTAAGATAGTTTAAACTCATTGATTGTTTATATTACATATAAAAAAAACTTAATAATTGAATAAATATGACTCTAACATGGCATTAAGTGGTTGTTGACCATAGGGTCAAACTGACACAAGAATACAGAAATCACATGGCCCATTAATACAGATAATCAATCATAAAGAAGGGGCTATTTTTGTCAGTCATATGGCGAGCATGTAAAATTAAGGAGTGATCTTAGAATGTTCAAAAGAAGAAGGTCATATGAATCTATTGTCTGCATACACTTATATAATTTGAGTACGTAATCATATTCTTTACTCAGTAAGTGTTACTAATTATTTATTTCATATTGATTCTATGGAATGGAGCTGTATTAGATATTTATTCAAATATTATATGTCAAGTTATTTCAAGTAATAAAGTGATGTATGTGAAGGCCTCGACTTGACATTTTAATTGAGCAAGTGATAGTGTACGTGAAAATAATATATGTATAACTCGGATCCAAAGAGAAGAAAGAGGTCAGAAACTACATCTGAAGGTTACAGTTACAGAGACAAGTATTGGTTAGTTCTTCAACAATATTTTTGTTTAAAATGGATCAGAATAAACTGGACCAAAATTATGTAAAATGGTTTATATGAGATAAAGTCTGTATCAAAGAATGTATATTTTGATGTCATAGCCATAAAGTATTCTTTCTTTGAAACAGATCAATGTAAAAAGAATTAACCTTAATGAACAGATAAATGATTTTGAACAATTATGAAAATGTAAAAGTTGTCAAGCTATAATCAAGGAAATGGTATCACTGCAAGCTGTCAATCAAATAGTTTTTTTTAAAAATTAATAAATTTTTAAAAAAGTTTTAAGGTAACAATAAATATGAACAATTTCTGCTTATAGATGATTATATTGACAAGCATTTAACAAAATTAGAATCACAAGTTTAAAGACATTTTCATTGAACTGTTAATTTTACAAATGTTTTGTCAGTCCATAATGGCAAGATAAACATAAACACATATTATATCTAGTAGTTTTAACTTGATGTAAGCTGGAAGAGAGACATCAAAACATCACATACTCTCAACTCAGCTGTGTCTGTCCAACACTTATGCGCATGGATATGGACTGCATGGATACGGAATAAACATCAAGTGAGCATGAAATTTAATACAGCAAAATGAACACTTAAATTGTAATAAACCTTCAAGAAATATAAATATCTCATTCTTATAAAATTGTAGGTTTTAATTAACACGTTTTTGTATGTTATATATATATATATTAAAAAAATAGATAAGCCTAAAGTATTATAGTTAGCATGTCGAATATTATAGTTTAAAATGATGATACATAGAATGTCATTTTTAAAAATATTTTGTTACATTGTGAAACAAAGTTTGTATAATTTGTCATTTTGAACAATTATGAAAATGTAAATTAAAAGATTTTATAATTATTTAATTTTTCTTGCAGTAAAAACCATTTTGAACAGACTGTAAAATTGTGTCTCCGTCTGTCAGACTGTAAAATTGTGTCTCCGTCTGTCAGACTGTAAAATTGTGTCTCCGTCTGTCAGACTGTAAAATTGTGTCTGTCTGATGACCTTGTCACCAGTTTATTTACTAAAAAAAAAACTGGTTGTTTTGGGGACAAAAATTAGAAAATGTAAAATATCACAATTTGATTATAAGTATTAGAGAGACAATTAATAAAAAAAAATGAAAACTTATTTGTAAACAGAACTCAACAATGGTGTTATGATATCAACAAAAGAGCATTTCTATATGGTCAAACACTTGAGTGTGAGATGGGATAAGACCAAGAGTAACAGTTTGAAAGTCATTGGGCTACTTATTATTTAGATGGAGTCTCATTCAATATTAGGTTATCTTGAAGCAGATTGACAAGCCATGCAAACTTGTCATGTCATTTATATTCAATCTTTGGTATATGTTTATCATGGGCATGACTTTGGACATGAAACAATGTTACCAAACTTAAGATGAGCTTGTATTGTAACTCTTTGTGGCGGTGGGTAACAATTTGACTCTAATGGAATTAAATCATGAAAGTAAAAAAACCTTCTACACTTTTGATCATGCCATTTTGTATGTGAACAAACTTTAAACAATACATACATGAATTCCTGTGATCACATAGTACTTCATTGCCAGCAACTGTCACTACTCTCTTATACATATAGCTCCTTGTGCTGCTGTCACTACTCTGTTATACTTATAGCTCCTTGTGGTGCTGTCACTACTCTCTTATACTTATAGCTCCTTGTGCTGCTGTCACTACTCTATTATACTTAGAGCTCCTTGTGGTGCTGTCACTACTCTGTTACACTTATAGCTCCCTGTGATGCTGGTGCTGATTGAGCCTTCAGTGTCCTGCGCCTTTTAATCCTGAGGAAGATGTTACTGATGACCATGAGAAGACCAGCAACTACCATGAAGCTGCCACCTAGATAAAATGCTTCATCAAAACTGCCAAATATGTCTCGGAAGGCCCCTGGAAAATGGTTAATTTTATTAAAGTTAACTATATTTGAAAATATTTTTAAAAAAGAAATATATCACATAAATCCTAATGCAACAATGGGATATATTGCATAGTTCACTCATTTTTATTATTTAACTCTTCTGCATCAATAAATAACAATTCTTTGCATCTCAAATTAACCGATATCCACAACTATGCATTTGTCTATAAATCATGGACACTGTCAGTTTTCTGTCTTTTTAGAGAGGTAATTTAATCAGAATTTAACCTATGGTATTATTAGAAAATTGACAAAACCGTCAGTTCCCTCTTAAACATGTTAGGCGTAGATTCAGCCAATCTAAAAGAAGTTTAAAGACCCTCTTCACTTTGATTCAGGCTGAATTAGTTTGATTTGCTTTTAAATCTGAGGCCACATGTTTTCAAGCAGCGATGCATTATTTTCAAAATAAATATTTGATATTTAATCTTGCAGTTCGACACTAGGATCTCTTGGATCTGCAGCTAAGCCAACAATTCCTGTTCCACAAATTTAAAGCTTCACTTAGACCAGTTATATTCTTTAGTTGCATATAATTTTTGCCTCATATTTTAATAAAGTTAAATGCAAAATTTAGAGCTGGGGTTGGCATCATACGGCACATGTGCCAGACTCGGCATGCACAGCAATCATCAGTGGCACAGACTCCGCATGCACAGCAATCATCAGTGGCACAGACTCGGCATGCACAGCGATTGTCAGTGGCACAGACTTGGCATGCACAGCGATTGTCAGTGGCACAGACTTGGCATGCACAGTGATTGTCACTGGCACAGACTCGGCATGCACAGCGATTTTCAGTGGCACGTGGAAGACCAAACAAATAATTATAAATGACTATACAAAAATGGGTCATAAATGGTAGACTTGTGAGTTATTGGCACGCTGAATGAATTAGAAGTCTTATTTTGGCACACTGAATGAATTAGAACTCTTACTTTGACATGCTGAATGAACTAGAAGTCTTACTTTGGCATGCTAATGCCAAAGTTTTGCCAGCTAATGCCAAAAGTTTGCCAACCCTTGGTGTAGAGTATAAATTTTAACAATAAATATGATCTTCCCAAGTTCTTCTCAACCTTTTCCCCCATGCAGTTAAAATTTTTTAAAAATCATCTCCAAAAGTATCTTACCTGATAAGGGTGGTCCCACACACATTCCTATAGCTTGGAAAAAGACAAGCAATCCAAAGGAAGCGGACATGTTCTGTACACCAAGAATATCCACAATAACAACTGACTTTTGTGAGATGTAAGCCCCCGTTAAAGACCCATATACTGAGCACAGCACAGACAAGGCGGCAAAGCTTGTCATCGAGGGCAGGATAAAAGAAATCCCCGCTATGGCAAAGATCAATGAGTTGTAAAACACCGGCCTCAGTTGGCGAATCCCTCGTAAATCAAATAAGACTCCTGCGACTATTCGTCCGATTGTATCAAAAACTCCTGTTATAGAAAGAACCAGGGCAGCTTCTGATTCTGTAAGTCCCTTGGACTTGACTAAAGCTGGGATGAAAGTGAAAGCCGCTTTGAACGCTGCCGTGAAAAGCATGATACTCACGCAGAACATGAAAAACGAGGAGTCCTTCAGTAAGGAAAAATGAAACAAATTTTTTTTGCCGCTTTTCTTCTGGCTTTTATTTTCAATGGGAAAACAGATTTTCAGCGAGGAGATGAACCAGCCGTCTTTTTTCACACATTGCTGCGGGTGGCTTGCGGGTGAAGTTTGTATCAGTGGTACATTTGTTGGGTCAGTGGCTGAGTCCATTTCAGTCTCTACCGGCGACATGTTTACATCTCTCGAAGGTTGGCTAATAACAGGATTCACTATCTCCGCCAAGGGAGACAATGCATTACCATTTTCTTCTGTTATTTTTTCAACACCCTTGCATCTGGGAAAAAAAAAAAGACTTCTGCTGCATGAAGCATAAAAAAAAAAAAAGAAAGAAATGTGTAAAAGATGTGATAAAACTGAAATGTCTCTACCGGCGACATGTTTACATCTCTCGAAAGTTGGCTAAAAACAGGATTCACTATCTCCGCCAAGGGAGACAATGCATTAACATTTTCTTCTGTTATTTTTTCAACACCCTTGCATCTGGGAAAAAAAAAAAGACTTCTGCTGCATGAAGCATAAAAAAAAAAAAAGAAAGAAATGTGTAAATGCTGTGATAAAACTGAAAAGGAATCCCTGGTCAATCTAACTTGAATCAAATGATGTGCAGTTTTATGTAGACTCTTCACAAAAAACAAATGTAGGGAAATGGCGTTGGATAAAAGTTGAATAATTTGACCAACCGAACAGGCTTAGTGGAGTCATCTCATCGGCAGCTTCAATAGTGCACATAAAGGCAGATCAGGTCATAGTGACAGATCAGGTCCTAGTGACAGATCAGCTCATAGTGACAGGTCAGGCCATAGTGACAGGTTAGGTCATAGTGACAGGTCAGGCCATAGTGACATATTAGCTCACAGTGACAGGTCAGGTCATAATGACAGGTTAGCTCACAGTGACAGGTCAGTTCATAGTGACAGATCAGGTCCTAGTGACAGATCAGCTCATAGTGACAGGTTAGCTCACAGTGACAGGTCAGGTCACAGTGAGATCAGCTCACAGTGACAGGTCAGGTCATAGTGACAGGTCAGGCCATAGTGACATATTAGCTAACAGTGACAGGTCAGGTCACAGTGACAGGTCAGGTCACAGCGGCAGATCTGCTCATTCTTGGGGCTGGACATTCTGTTTGACTTCCCACAACATAATGCTGGGACCGCAGTGATCCCAGACATCTGCCGTGATCCCAGACATCTACCATGATCCCAGACATCTGCCGTAACTTGTGGGTAAGTGACAGGCTACTTTTTACTTTTTGTGTGGCCCACCTTTTACATTGACAGTGTTAACATTCTTCTTCTGTGCTTCAAACTCAATTGTATAAGTTAAGAGTGGGATTTGTTTAAATTCCTACATCTTACACTGGGTTTTCAGTTTAAATTCCAACCATCATCTTACACCGTGTTTTCAGTTTAAATGCCAACCATCATCTTACACTGGGTTTTCATCCTAATAAATAACATGAGTTCTAGTAAATGTATTTACCTATTTTTGCGTGTAAATTTGTAGTGCAGACTGAGAGGCCTGTAAAGCATTGCAACTACCAGTCCGTTCAAGGCAACACCGCCCAATATAAGAAATGTTCCCTGAAAGATGTGCATATGGTCAAGAACATACCTGTCAAGTGTCAACATTAGAACATTGTCTGATCTGCCATCCAGAGCCCATAAAATACAGCCGCACGTAACATTTATCAAGCACTTGAATTATTTTGGGTCTGGGTGGAGTCACATGCCCCAATCTACAGTAAGACTTTACCTGGGATGAAATAAATATGCTTTTTCAAAAATGTAAATGATGAATGACATTGCAATGCAGTTCTTCTCAAAGTAGTGGTTGTAAGTCCTCAGTCAGCTGTCCACAAAAAATGAATTTTTTTTAAAGACTTAAAAAAACAAAAAACCTCAAGTAAATGGTCATCAGTCACCACTGCCATGTGGATACATTCTGACCGGTGCATTTACGCAGTGCTTCTCAATATTTTCATTTCAATGGACCCGTGGATGAGAGACTGTGGAATTACAGCCATGCAGTAGGGAATAAAACTAGTTTCACAGACTCTCTATCAAATATTTGAAACATTTAAACATTGGCCATGCAACATGCTTCATTCAATAGATTATCTTGCAATTATTATCACATCTGCAAACATGACAAGCTTGGAATAATATTTTGTCCACTCAGCAGTTCTGGGGTTAAGTGAAAATGCCAACGTATGAATTACTATTGTTTACTTTGTTCTTTGGTCCATATTTCAATCTACCTTCCTCTATCTTCCCCTTTAAAGTGTGTAACTTCACCGAATGGATGACTGGCAGCAATCTATAATTTATTCCTTTTCTGGATCAAACAAGTTTCTCAACAAAAGATGAAGATAAATAATAATGGGGAATTAGTCTGCACTCACTTCAAAGCCATAATTATCAAACAGCCACTGCGTCAGGGGTACTATACAAAATGTCCCCACTCCGACACCTGATGACCCCAAGCCGGCGGCTAAACCACGATGCTTGTCAAAGTACATTCCCGCAATGATTACAGATGGAGCGTACACTAGTCCTCGGCCAAGGCCTATGTTAAATGAAAAAAAAACACCATAATTATGGCTTAACACTAAAAGCGAAATGATAAATATAACTTTTGCCGATAAAACAATAACAAACCAACATTATAAATAACTAGACAAATAAAATATTTTAAATTGCCCAATAATACACATTACCTTGTAAAGCTGAATGGGAGAAAAAAAGGAAGTAAAAATCGGGAGCGTAGGCGTTGAGGATCTGAGCCACGGTCATAAGGAGCGACCCAATAATAACAGCTGACCTGACACTAAACCTGCTGCAGACAGCACTTGCCACAGGACCTAAATCACGGGGTTCAATGGACAGATGTGGTTTCAGCATTAATCAAAACAATGTATCTTTTAAAACTGATGGTACCTACTTTTGGTGCACTGGTTCCCATCTTTAAATAATACAATAGTTTTTTCCTAATTCTAATACTTTTTGAAAGTTACATTAAAAAACCCTTAGGACAGAGTTAAATTAAAGGCTATATATAAATTTGGTAATAAAATGATGCAAGTTTGGTCTCAAATATATTTGGTAATTGTATATTGTATCTTAAATACAAAAAAAAAAAAAAAAAAAAAAAAAAAAAAAAAAAAAATCGAAAAAGATTTTGTTTTCGTGTATTGAAAGTACCGGTACTAATCCATTTAGTTTTGGTGTATTGTAAGTACTAATCCATTTTGTTTTGTGAATTGTAAGTACTAATCCATTTTGTTTTGTGAATTGTAAGTACTAATCCACTTTGTTTTGGTGTATCGTATCGTACATACTACTTAACTTTGTTTCGGTATATTGCAAGTACTAATCCATTTTTGTCATGGTGTCTTGTGAGTATTAATCGACGTTGTTGTTGTCGGTAATATGTAACCATCATGATGTAACAGATATAAATATGTCCATTTATCAAAGCCTTTTTGTCTCATCAAGGGTGATATAAAGATTAACCATCAAAAGAATTTAATCTTACCTAGAAAAAGGCGGATGGTTGAGACCAGGGCACCAGGCCATGAAGTTAGCTGAGCACTTTTCTCAAACCTTGATTTAAACTGCAAATAGTAGATTCCATCATTCCTCTCAAATCCACCTGTCAGTGCATAAACAATGAATTTTGTTTAAAATCTTCAATAATCTTTTTGCCAAGTTCTTACCCATGACACAAAAAAAAAACCTTAAGATATGCAAATAACTTTTGATCTTTAATTTGTTTCTAAGATTTAATTCAAGAAACCTGGTGTAGAGCTATGTTTGGTGTCTTTTGGTGAGACTGTGGGAGGGTTCCGTGGGGGGGGGGGGGGTTGTTTTAATTTTTTTAATATATAGTCACAATTATATGTACCATTTTTGATACACTGATGAGAAGTCAGGGTTTAATAGTTTCCTTACAACAGGAAAATTAAACACTACATCTGATCTTTCCCCTCAGGTAACCAAACCTTTTGTGAGGAATGTGATATCTTTCTTTGTGTCTTGCCAAAGCCAGGAATATTGTTAGAATAATTGAGAGAGCCGCAAGGGCACACTTTACACGGATTACCCAGAGAAAGCCACATGGTCAGACTTTCTTGGGATTACCCTGAGAAAGCCACAAGGGCAGACTTTATAGGGATTACCCTGGTATAGCAGTACATCTGGGGAATGCCCTGCCCCCCAAAAATAGTGAGAACCTTTTATTTCACATTGTTCATGTTCAGCACCATATCAATAACTCATTGGATGTAAATCCATTTCGGAGCATAGTGTTACTGGCATTATTGCATAATTAAGAATGAGTTGAAGATTATGTTTATTTGACCCAACGCTCAATAGGAGATTATGTTTATTTGTGAACATTTACCCGACCCTCAATAGGAGATGTTTATTTGTGAACATTTACCCAAGCCTCAATAGGAGATTATGTTTATTTGTGAACATTTACCCAATCCTCAATAGGAGAGTATGTTTATTTGTGAACATTTACCCAAGCCTCAATAGGAGATTATGTTTATTTGTGAACATTTACCCAATCCTCAATAGGAGAGTATGTTTATTTGTGAACTTTGACCCAACCCTCAATAAGAGATTATGTTCATTTGTGAACATTTACCCAAGCCTCATTAGGAGAGTATGTTTATTAGTGAACCCAACGCACAATAGGAATCAATTTAATCAGTAAACTTAAAGGGTAAATATTAATACAGCATGGCAGGATATTTGTGAAAAACTAAAGAATAGCTAAAGGAAATCTCTATTAGATAGCTCCCTGTTCAAATATCCATTAGTGTTTTAAATTAAAACTTTTTTGGGGATAAATATGAATTAAAAAATTGCTTTGTGAATTATATCTGCTCAGCTTAACTTCAACATTAATATATTTTAACATTATGACTGACTCATGTTTCTTACATAAAGAATAATTACATATTCATGCGCTGATTTTTTTTTCATTTACAACAATTTTTATTAAATTCAAAATGACATACCGATGATAATGTGGGCAATAAAGCATCCCAGCACAACAATCCAACCGTATCCACCATCTGGCACTGCATCTGTTTCAGCAGATGGCTTCTTCTCCTCATCATCTAATTTCTCATTCACAACCTGTACAGTACAAAAATTAAAGGGCTTCAGCCTTAAGATGACAGAAAATTACAAAATGAGGTTAAAAAACTAGAGAAACATCTAAAAGAATTTTCTTTTCCTTTCCCATACTTGGTGAGAAAAATTTAAATGTTTTGCTTTCATTTCATTTGCAATGCCAACTTGACAAGGCTCATAATAAATTAATTATTCATTGTGATTGTTATTGAAGTTAGAATAATAGATATGCTGGATTTGTTAAATTAAATGTCCTACATGCCAGGTACAGAGTTCAAAGCCCTTCACAATGACTCCCTAAAACACAGTACACAAATTAAAAACTAAATTAAATGATTATTTCTCTTAATTTAAGAAGAAATTAGAAATGCTTAGTTTTTTTTTTTCTTTCTTTCCATGAAGTGTATTATGATTGTATATCTCTTTAATAAAAAAAAATATCTTAAATATTGACTCATTTGTAATGTATGACTTAACGCAGCAACAAAACGAACCAATTGAGCAAACATACCATTACTTCTTGTTCTGTCTCAATAACCACTTTACCAATGTTCATTTGGTTGTTTGACTGGTAACCTTCAACACCAACATCTGTCATGTCAATGCCTCCCATCTGAAGGCTTTCGATTTCTTTACTTCTCATAGTCTAAAGTAAAATAGATGTGTCATATATAATTAATTGACATGCGATGAATTAATTACATCTACCGGTATTGCAAATGCAACTCAACATTCTACTCATGCTGATCTAGTCATTAATAAGCAAAAAGTCAATACATTCTACTCATGCTGATCTAGTCCTTCTTAATAAGCAATAAGTCAATAAATTCTAATCATGCTGATTTAACCATTAATAAGCAATAAGTTATATTTCTATCAGCAAAAAGCTTTCAGTTCCAACCTTAGGGTCATCCATAACTTTCTTTCAGTTCCAACCTTAGGGCCATCCATAACTAGCTTTCAGTTCCAACCTTAGGGTCATCCATAACTTGCTTTCAATTCCAACCTTAGGGTCATCCATAACTTGCTTCAATTACAACCTTAGGGCCATCCATAACTTGCTTTCAGTTCAAACCTTAGGGCCATCCATAACTTCTATCACACAATTTGGCAGATATTTTTACCTCCCCCAACTCCCACCATCATCAAAAACCACCACACAAAGTTAAACACTCATCACAAATTTGTGACCCCAGCTTTCCCCCTAAATGAGATGTCTATGACAGAGTAGGCGTGACCTAATATTGCAATGAGCCAAAATAACTCTTGTATATGTTAGAAAATATAGTAAAAACTCTCTCTCTCTGCTGACAACCTATATATGTGGATTAAATCAGCATCATCTAGTCAAGAAATTCTAGAAAATGTCTCACCTAATAGCATTCATTAGAACAAATACAACGCATTCGAGCGTAAACAACCTTTTCCCAATCAAGGAGGGGGCCGGTAAGGAGTGACATAGCAAATTTACTCAGTGATGTCAATTTCAAAACACATAAAGGAGACTGGAGAGTTCAACGCTGTAGCTCTACGTTGAAGTGAAATTGGGTCAAGTCATAGGCAATAATACAACATGGAATAATGCTATATTCTATTATTGGCATTAGCCTATGGTAATAAGGGGAGAGACTGCAATCAGGTTAGCAAAATAGGAAATGAGTAAAACAAAGTAAGGTTAAACCTGAAAAAGGAGATCCACAAAACAGCGAACGTGTCGGCAGGAAGCCTTCATCACCCAACAAACAACAGAAATACTACTTCTCAGCTAATTTAATTTTATTCTGTTTTTTCTGTTGTTTGTTTGCTTAAGAAGGCTTCCTGCCGACACGTTCATTGTTTTTGTGGCGTTCCTTTTTCAGGTTTAACCTTACTTTGTTTTACTCCATTTCCTATAGGCCTATGACTGGGTTACCAACTCAATAAAATAAATTTTCAGACAAATATAAAAACAGACAACAAAATCATAATATGAAGACTAAAGAAAATTCAAATACCTGGTATCTGTATGACTATGCAAAAGGATGTTTCTAAGAGTATGTTTCTATTCTATGATATAACAATGAGGACTTATGGACTTTTACAGACAAGTCATTATAGTGGGCAAATTTTCACAGTCACAGACTCCTTAAATTTATGGATGGTTTCCTACCTAACCTATGTTTTTTACTAATTTTCTTTTTATTAATTTATAATGTTAATGCTATGCTATGTATAACATAGGCTGATATTTTGAACCTGGTTCTGTTTTGTGATTGTCATGTACAACAAATAATAATAGCTTAAAAAGTTAAATATAAAAATAAAATGAAACAATTGGGAAACTTATTTATTAGAATAAAAAATAATTATAAAAAAGTAATAGTAGTGTAGGCTTATAATTAAACCTGCCTTTAATTTCGCCTACTTTAACTTACTACTTACTAGCTAATTATGTCTGCAGTTTGAAGTGCCTCCTCTTGTAGTAGCCGTTGAAGACTGCCTTATTTTTTACTTGATGACTACTAAAATATTATGAGTATGACTATGAGCATGAGCTAATATTTAATTTATTTATAATTTGCTCTGGCCACATCCAGTCAATGGTTCAAAATATTACTCACACTCACAGTAGCAACAGACTTATTCCACATTATTATTATTTAAAATATTTATTTAAATTTAAATATTTGTTCAACTGTCAACTATTAAGCAGTTAAGACTTAACTGTACTGCACTACTGATTACTAGTAGTAGTGACACCAACACATACTAAACTAGTAATATTAATATATACAGGCCTTATTAATTTAATGTTCTTGTGAATGATCTTCATATGTGTCAATGAATGTCAATGTGTTACTGTTACCGGTACCGCTCTTATAAAATGCACTGAAGGTCTTTGTGATGCAATATCTTTCCAATATTTCCACACTGAATCCGTTAACTAAGTCGAATGACAAATCCGGAGACATCCTAATCCTACTGACTGAGTATAATATTGATTGGGTCCTATTAATTTAATAAACATCTAACAACTAGCTAGTCTAGTCAGATAATAATTTTTTAAAAAGTGACACAGCAGTTTTTGTCACCTCTTAAATTACGAGCAGATTGTCCTAATTTTTAACCCTGCACTAGTTTTCAACAGTAAAAATACACCCAAAATGTGAACTTTGCTGTTATCGCGTTGCAGTAAAGCTGTATTGCAAATGCTGTCCTCAGTACTCGGATCTAGTATAAGGATTAGCGACTGACGTCTGCTAGAACAGTGGAGAGGTAGATTCGCTGCCCTTGATTTTGAACAACTGTCCTTTGGGTTTGGTTTGAATTTCAGTACCGGTACAGCCTTGCCTTAGAGTGAACTTGTCGGTTGTACAAAAATAAGTCTGGTGTGTCTTGACCACTTGGGCTAACTCTTTTAGTTCAAGATTCAAAGCATCACTTGCTGTTGTTATTTTTTTTCTTCTATAATAATATGTACTGATAACCGGGTATTTATGAAATTTAAAAAAAAAAAACTTGAAATAAAAAGGCGATGCAATAAATTCATGATTACCGGTACATAATTCATCATGTTCCGTCAATTATGGAGATATGTTTTAACTACTTCGTACACAGCACTAATCATTTCCACCAAAATAAGTAAAAGGAAAATAAATCGCGAAATTTGTCAAAAGTTACGAAGAGTGCACCAATATAATTTTTTATAATACATATTACAATCATACAAAACAAAATAGATGTTTCTACAAAAATGACAAAATATCTCTCTAAGTCTAAGGCTAAGGTAGGCTTAAAGTTAAAGTGTCAAAAAGCCTAAAGGAAAGAAACATTTTAAAGGCACGCAGAAATATAAATGATACCCAGAAAAGTTTCACAAAAACTAAAGGTATGATGAAAACATCTTGTAACTCTATTCAGTATAGTATACATAAACCTAACCTTGTAAATTCCATGTGTCTTGCTGCAGATCACTGTTCGAAAGGGGGAAAAGCGGGGGTAATATAAATGAGTAATGATATTTACCGTCACGGCGCTGCAATGCCATATTAACTACACATTTAATGACAAAAGCTTGAAGAGATTGGTAATATTAAACAGTGTTAGGTGGTTTTTTAACATCATACTTGAGGTTGGGGGGGGGCAGACTGTGACAAAGTGTTGAAGGGGAAACAGAAAAATCAAGAGACACAAATGATTTAATAACATTCATTTTCCGAAATTAACACCATTAAATAATTTCTATTTAAAAAAAAAAACTGGTGGGGAATGAAACAAAAACATCATAACATTTGGAAGGCAAGCTTTTGGCCTCGGAAAAACAACTTTTCTTAGAATAAATAATCAATAAGTTATTTTATTTAAATTTTACAATTTCACATTACACTAAGAATTATAACCTACTTTTTATAATAAAATGACTAAGGCAGGCTTATTTCAAAGTGAGAATAAAAAAAACTATAATTTATCTGCTCTCTGTTTTATCAAAATAAGATAACTTTGTTGTCACGGTAAACGCAGCTTTTAGTGTATTATGTATATCACGACGGGAAACGTAGCAACTCGGTGTGTTTAGCAGTTTATTTGGTTATTATGTAATAATTATGTTAGCAGAAAAATATTTTGTTTTAAGAAACTTTTTTTTTTTCTTGCTTACATAAAATTTCACTCCGAAAATAGTTATGTATATCTTTATCTAGCAATGAAAAACGGAACTTTGACGGACACTCAACATATTCTGCGAAAAACTAATTAACCATAGACTTTATTGGCATTAGAGGCGTTGAGCGAGACAACTCTCGTATACACACTCTAAGACTAAATTATAAAACAAGTGACTAAGACTGGACTTAACTGGCAGTGGTCTAATAATGAGTAATATCCAAAACAAAGGAGCTAGACGACATTTATATGAGTAGGACCATATTCATCTCAAAATTGGATATAGCTGTATAAATTAATTCCTTGGAATTTTATGAATATGGTAGGCCTAATTTTAATTTGAATGTGAATGATTGAAATTGAATGGACTGTACTGTCACGTCACAAAATCAAAAAGGCTTCAAGTTCGAAATTTTTGAGGATTAGTGTGACTTTTTCTGTATAATTTTGTTTGTGACTTTATTATTTTTTTAATATTATTTTTTTTCTCTAGTCATGCAAAATTGGATATTATTATTATTATGAGTTATAAATATTCAGTGTTTACACAAATATTAATTATGTTGGTCAATTACTAAATGACTTAATGTACTTAAAAACGGATAGGCATAGGCCTATTTGCATGTTAATAAACTGTAGGACTAGGCTTGCTATTAAATTTTAAATGTAATTAAAAATTAGCTTGAATCGCTACCACATTGCCTTTAAAATTAAATTTAAAAGCTTTAAATAATTCAAAAATTTTGTAACTTTCAGGGCACTCCAATAAAAGACATTGTTATTCCAGCCAATGCTCCAAAGACTCTGTTACTTCAGAAGCATGCAGACTACATAGCATCATATGGAGATAAAAAAGATGATTATGTCATTATCAACATTAATTATAATTACACTTATAAAGTTTTTAAAAACCAACTAAAACTGTGCAACAGCATGTATAACTGTACCCAAAAATTGAAAAGTCTAAAAGCTAAAACAATTATTTAATAACTTTTTCATTTAATTATCCATTTTTGGCTAATTTGGAGAGATATCTTCCTGACGTCATTTGCTTGTTTTGTCCCTCGTTCCAATAGGGTCAAAACCCTGGTTCAGATAGGGTCAAAACCCAGGTTAGGGATAAGTTTAGGCTTCAGGTTAGGTTTAATAGATTTAGGGTTCAGTTAAGGTCATGGATACATTTAGGACATAAGTTTGCGGGTCGCAGCAACAAAGATGGCGGCCATGGTGCTATCTTTCCAATTTTACCCAATTTTTTAATGCATGCTAACTTTGCCTTCTTGATAATTTCTGGATTAGTTTGAAACTCCAAACAAGTGTTTTTCAGAAGTGATTGCAATGAAAATTGAAAATAAGCCCTCCGCCCTCGTAACTTTATCTGATAGATTACCTACATGATGGGACTGATGAAAAAATAGATTTAGGAATCACAGAGATAGAATTTTTTTCTTTATTGGCTCAACGTTTCATTTATGCAACTATGTTTTCAGTTGTGCTTTAATGTCATAAGAGCCTGATGCAAGCAGTTTAATGTATTTTTTGGGAATTTTGCAAAATGTATGAGACGGCAATAATTCCAGGGTTTTACAGTCAGACACTCACTTAGAAACTTCCTCCGGAATCTTAAAATAAATTGTTTTTTAAGATAATCCTTAAAAACTATACAATTTCATGTAAAGCCGTACTACTAATAAAAATTCTAAAACCTATACAAAGTATGGATAAATTGGCATGTACGAGCCATAGTTTTGTAGAAAAATAATAATCATTTGTAAATTAATTTGACTGTATTTCTTGTTTGCTTCAGGAATATGTTATGACAGAATTTCTCCGCATGAATGGGATGTACTGGGGCCTGACATCCTTGGCCTTGACAGGTCAGCTTGACCGAATGGATAAAGCAGAAGTCTTGGATTTCGTCATGAAGTGCCAGCATGAGTGTGGTGGGTTCAGCTGTAGCATAGGTCATGACCCTCATTTACTTTCCACACTAAGCGCCATTCAGGTATCAACGTTATAAAAATCTCTGTCTTATTTTTGTTCTATTTCAAAAATTAATTCCATCAGCTATGACTTAACATTGGCAAGACGGCAAACATTTTTGCCCACACATCAGATTTTTAATAAAATTACAAGTTGGCGGCTGCTCCAACCTTAGTCGTTGAGAATTTTTTACACATGGCTTACCTCCTGCTCAAGAATAGCTGCCTTGTTATGTCAACAAGTCTATTCAACTTGGCTTACCTCCTGCTCAAGAATAGCTGCCTTGTTATGTCAACAAGTCTATCCAGGCCTTGTGACTTCTTCCTGTGAATTCCACACCATCGTCACATTGTGATGCCAGAAACACTAGAAGTCCACACCATCGTCACATTGTGATGCCAGAAACACTAGAAGTCCACACCATCGTCACATTGTGATGCCAGAAACACTAGAAGTCCACACCATCGTCACATTGTGATGCCGGAAACACTAGAAGTCTGCAGAGTCTCCTGACACCCCAAATCCTTAAAACTTATTACAGCAAATGCATCAGTCAAATATCAACACCTTTGACTTACAACAAATGCATCATTCAAATATCAACACCTTTGACTTACAACAAATGCATCAGTCAAATATCAACACCTTTGACTTACAACAAATGCATCAGTCAAATATCAACACCTTTGACTTACAACAAATGCATCAGTCAAATATCAACACCTTTGACTTACAACAAATGCATCAGTCAAATATCAACACCTTTGACTTACAAAAAATGCATCAGTCAAATATAAACTGATGTGCCAGTGTGTTGTGATGATGTGCCAGTGTGTTGTGATGATGTGCCAGTGTGTTGTGATGATGTGCCAGTGTGTTGTGATGATGTGCCAGTGTGATGTGATGATGTGGCAGTGTGTTGTGATGATGTGCCAGTGTATGTGTAGTTTACAATTTACAGTATTCAATGAAATTTAATAATTTAAAATACATCTGACAGATTCTGACCTTATTTGATGCAGTTGACTTGGTGAATTCAGACTCAGTTGTGGGATGGGTGAAAAGCCTTCAGCAATCTGATGGGAGTTTTTATGGTGACAAGTGGGGTGAGTATTCACTTTTGTAGTGTTTTCAGTGGAGTGAGTATCCACTTATCTAGTGCTTTCAGTGGGGTGAGTATCCACTTATGTAGTGTTTTCATTTTCCCCAAGAATATCCTATTT